CTTGAGTTCCTGCCCTGACTTCCTTCAGTGATGAACAGTGACGTGTAGGTCATATAAACCCTTTCCTCCACAAGTTGCTTTGGTTATGGGGTTTCATCACAGCAGTAGAAAACCTAACTAAGACAGAAAGTAAAGGAACTTGCCTATAGAGAAGAACTAAGACTGATGAGTCTTAAGTTATTGAAGAAACTGAAAAAAGAGAATTCTATTTGCTAAGCCAGTATCCTCCTACCCCCCCAATACCAAAGTCTGACAAAAATATGCATGAAAAGAAAATTACAGGCTGGTCTCCATGATGAACATAGACAAAAAGATTTTCAGTAAAGTCGTTGTGGACTGAGTTCAAGAACACATCAGGTTCACTTCATTTCAGAGCTGCAGGGATGGACCAACATATGTAAATCACTGAGCCTTATCACACACTCAATGGCAGAAATCACATGAGCATGGGAAACAGAAAAGGCTTTTGTTAAAATTCAATGTCTTTTCATGACAAAAACTCTGGAAAGGCTAGAAATGGAGGGACTATGATGGGAGAATTCCTTCTGTATATATGTTTCTCTTATTGGTTGATGAATAAAACACTGGCCAATAGAGGCAGAAAGATAGGCAGGACTAGGAGATAAGGAGAATTCTGGGAAATGTAGGCAGAGAGAGACTGAGAGGAGACACCATGTAGCCACCAAACGAGTAATAGGTCCAGGTATTCTCCAGTAAGCTAAGACCACGTGTAAATACATAGACTTATAGAAATGGGTTAATAATTAAGACAGAGCCAACAAGAAGCCTTAGCTGTTGGCCAACAGTTTAATAATTAATGTAGCATAATGTGTTTATTTGGGGCTAAAGTGGCAGCAGGACCAGGCAGGAAAGCAAAACTCTAGTGACAGAACCATATCTAAATAATATATGTTATATATACAAGACAAACATACAGTCAACTTCACGCTAAATGCAGAAAAACTTCAAAGCAATTCCACTAAGATCAAGAATAAGACAAGCGGGTCCACTCTCTCCCCTCCTCTTCAAGATCATGTGTGAAGTCATAGTTAGAGCAGGGGGACAAGAGAAGAAAATAAAATTGATACAAACAGAAGAGGAAGACTCCTAAGAACCTTTATTTGCAAATGACATGATTCTATACATGAGGTGTTGGGAAATTTAAGTACTTGTCCCTTAAAGCTCTCTTCCTCCCCACCCAGCTGTAGAACTTCCATGCAAACAAGGTGTTTTCAGAACTTTCCAATGCGCAGTGCCAGTACCTTGACCCCAGATGTGGGTGGTGCATGACTTCCTTCTATGCTTAGCCCATCCCCAGGCTTGGGCCCATTACTCTCTGTAATAAACGGCAGCAACTTCTTCACTTCTCATGGTGGCCTGTTTAGTGTTTCAATCCCGACACCCTCCACCGCCAAGCTCAGTACTCTTGCCATGTGGGTGCGGAAAGTGGAGGTCCCACCGAGATTTGGAAAGTGAGGACGGGGTCGCTCTGTAGCTGGCCTGAGCGCATTGGGGTAAACAAGGTACGTACAACAATATGGGAACTGCTTCAAGTAAGAATGAAAGGAAGGAACAAATAAGAAAGCTTTTAAAACAACAAGGAACAGAAATTAAAAGTAAAGCTACAGACACCATAGGGAAAGTTAGTTCCTGGTTTCTGACTGGGGGAAGACTTAATGTTCCTGATTGGGAACAAGTGAAATCAGACCTGCAGAAGAAGCTACATGAGGAGGGTGTTGACAGCGTTCTGATAGCCACCTCCTCTTTGTGGAGGTTAGTCAAAGATGCCTTCCTAACAAAGTAAAAGTGAAAAAACAACTAGAGATAACCAAGCAGGCCTGTAGAGAGGTCCAAGAGGAGGAAACTAGACAAAAGTAACCATTAGTCAGACCCCCAGTAAAGAGAATGATACAAAATGGTTAACATCTTCTGAGTCTGAGTGGGAGGAGGACTCGGAGGAGGAAACTTTAATAGAGGAAATTGAAAAACTCTGTAAGCTGCTGCATTGTCATAAAAAAAAAAAAAAAACAAAACTCATGGAGGACATGGTAGTGAGGGTCTTTCTTCAGATAAGGGAGACGAGGAATAGAAACAACTGTTAAAAGAAATGCTGCTAGATTAATCCAATTTATAGATTTTAAAAATGCCTTGACTTCAAAATTTAAGTCTAAGGACAGGTTACTGGGGAAAAGGATTTCTATTTTTGTTTCCACAGAAAATAAAAAGCTGTGGATTCCTTCCAGACTAACATGGTTTGATCAAGCCAGACCTCCTGAAACAATGTTCCAGGTGATCCAACATTCAAAACAGCTGGGACAAGGCAGCCTTGCAGACTACAGCCAGGATTTCTGCATCTTCTTAGGATCCCCATGACAGCGCCCCCTACCAGCAGGAAGCAGTTTGGAAAGAAAGATGCCCAAATTCCCAAATATTGTTTACAGAGAAAAGTGACTGAAAAGGGGGTTGTAAAAACAAAATTAGTAAAATTTCATGTCCCCTGTGGGGGAATGGGTACAGCACTGGTCGGGGTCTATTGTGTTATCCCTACTCGGGGTCCTGGGTATCGGTGCCTGCATCGGGATTCCACAACCAGTACAATAGGCAAGTGTCACCTGACAGGCGCTCACGGCCTTGACAATGTAATAGGAATCAGCCTAAGTGTGGCTGCAGATGCTGGAGAAGCGATAACCAACAGCGGGCAACTCCTAGCGGGATCAATGCCGCCTAAGACAGGGAATGATGAGAGCGTTTCCCCGTGACGGGTGAGGTATTTGTTCCCCAGGTAACCTAAGACAGGGATCACCTCATTTAAAAAATAAAAACGGAGGAACTGTTGGGAAAGTCAAGTACTTGTCCTTTAAAGTTCTCTTCCTCCCCACCCAGCTGTAGAACTTCCATGCAAACAAGGTTGAGCAAACAAGGTTGTTTTCAGAACTTTCTGGTACACAGTGCCAGTACCTTGACCCCAGGTGTGGGTGGTGCATGACTTCCTTCTATGCTTAACCCATCTCCTGGCTTGGGTATTTACGCCCATTACTCTTTGCAATAAACAGCAGCTTCTTCTGCGCTTCTTGTGGTGGTCTGTTAAGTGTTTCAATCCTGATACCCTCCACCAAGCTTGGTACTCTGGTTGCACAGGCATGGCAATTAGGGACCATAAAGACTCTACCAGGAAACATCTTAGAGATTACCTTCAAAGTGCCAGAATACGAAAATCAACATACAATAATCAGTAGCTTTCCTATACATATATCAATAAAAGGCATACTGAGGAAAACAAAAACCAGGGAGATGATCACATTCAACATGGCCTCAAGACTAATAAAATGCTTGGAATAAACTTAACCAAGGAAGTGAAAGATGTCTGCAACACAAACTGTAAAACACTGGAAGAAATAAATTGAGGAAGACACTAGAAGATGAAAAGACTTCCCATACTCAGGCAGTCAGAGAATAAATATTGTGAAAATGGCTTTACTAATCTATAGCGTCGATCCAAGCATCATCAAAACTGTACTATTCTTCACAGAAAGAAGAAAAAGCCATCTTAAAAATTCAAATGGAGCTGGGCAGTGGTAGCACATATCTTTAATCCTAGCACCTGGGAGGCAGAGGCAGGTAGATCTCTGTGAGTTCGAGGCCAGCCTACAAAGTGAGTTCCAGGACAGTTACACAGAGAAACCTTCTCTTGGAAAAAAAAAAAAAAACTCAAATGGAAATATAAAAGACAAAGGAGATAATAATGCTGGAGGTATCATTATTCCTGATCTCAAATTATACTACAGGGACATAGTGACAAGAACGGTATGGTACTGGCAGAGAAACAGACATGTGGGGTGGTGACATAGATGACCAGGATCGAAGCTCATCCAGCTCTAATCACCCTATCTTTATTAAAGATGCCCGATGTACACATTGGAGAAAAACAGCCTCTTCAACTGAGGCGTTTTCTTGATTCATGATTGATGCAGGTGGGCCCAGCCCACTGTGGGTGGTGCCATCCTTAGGCAGGCTGTGTAAGAAAGCAGGCTGAGCATGCTATGGAGAGCAAGTCATAAAGTATGGTTCCTCTGTGGTCTCTGCTTTAGTTCCTTCCCTGACTTCCCCACAGTCATGATAGACTGTGAGCCAGCTGTAAGGTGAAAGAAACCCTTTCCTCCCCAAGTAGCTGTTGTCGTGGTCTTTAATCACTGCAATAGAAAGCACAAAGCAGTTATCCGCTGAATTTGGAATCTCTAGTCTGTTTAACGTTGCTCAAGGTTGAAACCAATACTGAGCCTGGACCTTTCAAGGATGGGTTTTCCAACGCGGCTGCATTCACATAGGGTGATGGTTGAACAAGATAATCCTAACTAAAGTTAGCCTCCGGGCTCTAACAATGTGAAGCCTGCCACCTCAAAGCAGATCTTCAATGGGTTCTACATGATACTAGGGGAATAAGGGGAAAACAAACGTTGATCCCCTTCTATTGTGGTACCCAAAGGTCCTTCCAAGTGAGGGCCCCCAGCAGCCCAACTAGATGTGATGTTAGAGACAGTCCAGCCCTAAGGCTGTGGATTTTCCAGGGAAGTGGCTTCTGCTAACAGTTTCACAGGCAGTAACTGTGGAGAACAAGGTGGAGCATGGGTGTCCTGAGCACCAGGTCACTTCTGGTGGTGTCTGCCCTGCCCTGATTTCATCACAATCTCTTCTCTTGGCATGCTTAGTGATGGCCTTTGAGCCAGTCTCCTGAGTTCAGTCCTCCTGGCTGTTCTTTATGCTCCAATGACTGAATCCTGCCATGCCGTTGCTTGGAAAACACTGTAAAGAGAAGCTGACTTTGTTGGAGTTCTATTGGGATTTTGAGACTTTCTCCATTTGAACTACATGGTGCCTGACACTTGGGTCAGTACTGGGGAGTTTGAAGGGCTGCTTGATGAGTAGGCTGTGTGTTGGGAGACTCGGATATCTCAGAACCTTGGATTTGGCCCATCTGACCCAGAACAGGTTACTCTCACATCATGGTCGAGATACCGACAGCCGTGACTCGACTACTGCCAAAATCAGAGAAATCAAAATATCACTCACTTCTTTGTGTGAACTTTGTTTTCCTACTCACCCTCACATTGGCCTTTTTTGCCTACACTCTCTTGAGCCTGAATAAGCAGAAACCAAAATACCTGCTGGCGAAGGATAGCATAACGGTTAGAGAAGTAGATCACCTGAAAATAGTGAATGTGTCCAGGATGTATTATCAGTCGAAACTAATAGCACCCAACAGCGAAAACATAGTCATGCAGACCCCTTGGCTGGCTCCCATCGTGTGGGATGGGACTTTCCAAATTGAAATCCTGAACCAGCAATTCCGGCTCCAGAACGTCTCCATTGGGTTAGTTGTGTTTGCCACCGGAAAATATGTAGCCTTCCTAAAAGTGTTCCTGCAGACGGCGGAGATGTACTTCATGGAGGGACACCGGGTGAAGTATTACATTTTCACGGATCAGCCATCCAGTGTGCCATTCCTGAAGCCCTATAAAGGAAGGCAGATGGTAATTCTGGAAGCCCAGGGCTCTGCCCACCCCTGGAACACTCACATCCACAGAATGGAGGTGATCAGCTATTTTTCCCAGCAGCGCTTTGCAAAGGAGGTGGATTACCTGGTCTGTGCACACGTGAACATCGTTTTCTGCAACAGCGTGGGCGTGGAGATCCTATCCTCCTTGTTCGGCACGCTGGACCCTTTGTTCTTTGGGTTACCAAGGAAATCGTTGGCTTACGAAAGGCAGCCTCAGTCACAAGCCTATATTTCTGAGAACGAGGGAGATTTTTACTACTCAGGGGCCTTCTTTGGGGGAAAGGTCCTGGAGGTTCACAGGCTCACCAAGTTTTGTTACCAGGCAATGAAGATGGACCAGGCCGATCACATCAAGGTCCCGAGGCATGATGAAAGCTACTTGAACAAGTATCTCCTTTACAACAAGCCCACCAAGATCCTCTCTCCTGAGTACATGTGGAATAAGAAACTTCCAAACGGACACAGCTTTAAAGAAGTGTTGACAGACGCGGGAATGCTCATAAGAGTCAGCAAATATCCCTGGACTGATGCTGAGCAAGACTACCAGAAAGATCTCAGACTGGGTCAGTGACAGCCTGTCACTCTTCTAACATGCTGTCTGAGATCAGAACCATCATTTTTTAAGTTCTTACTTTTTCAAGACAGGGTTTCTCTGCAGCCACTGATGTCCTGGAATTCACTCCGTAGAGCAGGCTGGCCTTGAACTCACAAAGATCGGTCCACCTCTCCTCCCGAATGCTAGGATTAAAGGAGTACGGATTTTTACTAGTGTGAGCATAGGCTTCACATTTCCAATTGGTAGGGGGAGTAAATGCTCGGGAATAATTGCCCCCTCGCCCCACCTGGCCTAAGTTTGCTTTCTGTTGCTGTGATAGAACACTGACCAAAACCCAGTTGGGATGAAGGGTTTATTTCACATTCAGGGTTACAGTACTCCTTCATGGAGGGAAGCCAGGGCAGACACTCAGGCAGGAACCTGTAGGTAGGAGCTCAGCTTGCTAGATTGCTCCCATTGGTTTGTTCAGCTTCCTTTCTTATACGACCCAGGACTACTTGTCCAGGAGGTTCTGTCCCATCTGATGGAGATTTCCTCAGTTGAGGTCCCTTCTTCCTAGGTGACCCTGGGGTGTGTCAAGTTGACAGCTGAAGCGTGCTATGACAACACCCTCAACCCCAACTTTACCAGACACAAAGGCACCCCACCCCAACACACGTTTAGCTGGGCTGATTTCTTAGGTTAGTCCTTCTTGCTTTCCTCTTACTTCAACGCCTTTCAGGTTGAATGAGGCTGGTCGGTATCGTCCTGTGCTGGTGAGCAAAGTGTAATAGACAAGACCTTTTTCCAGAAGGTCTCCTGCCTTCCAAGGCATGTCTCACAGAACCCGCTTTGGTCTTTGGCTAAGGTTAACTTTAGGCTAAATCACTTCCTCTTCAAATTCTTTGTTTGGTTTTTTCGAGACAGGGTTTCTCTGTATAACAGCCCTGGCTGTCCCAGAACTCACTGTAGACCAGGCTGACCTCGAACTCACAGATATCCACCTGCCTCTGCCTTCCCAGTGCTGGGATCAAAGGCACGTGTGCCACCTCTTCAAATCCTTTGTGACAATGGAGGACTTGAATGTTTGCTCAGATGTGATGTGATGTCAGACCAGGACCCTCTGTCCTCATGCCCGGCTTCTGTCCATCTCAAAACACTGTTGGGTATTGATTGACAGCAGCGAGCATGCTGGCTGCCTGCAGTGTGCCCCCCTGCCCCCCCACTTCCCCATCCCCATTTTCAGCTTCTCCGTGATCCATGAGTGGATGAAGACGATTTCCTGAGGCCAGAAACCTTCTGTCCCTCTTGGAAATCGTTTCTGTGCTCCTGCAACAGTGTAACTGTTGTGACTCTGCTTTAGTTTTTCTTTCTCTCTTTTCCCTGGAACAGTGCAAAAGAAGGGCAGAGTGTCACACTACAGCGGCCTTTGGTTTCCCTCTACACGTGAAAAGTGTCCTAATTGTTGGACCTTTCTCTTTTGAGGCTCCAAATTTAAGATTTGGTTTTGTTGTTGTTTGGGACTGGGTCGCGCTGTGTAGGCCTAGAGCTTGCTCTGTAGACCAGGCTGGCCTCCTACCTCTGCCGCCTGAGTGCTGGGATTAAGGGCGTCCACCACCATCATGTTCAGGCTTGTAGGTGGTTCACTGCTCTAGAGGTGGTGGGGCCTGGGAGAATGGAGCCGATGAATGAGGAGGATTACAGTCTCCTACAGTAGCCAGCTTCATTCAGAGCATCAGACACTTAGTTAGGGTTAAGAGGAGTCACATGAGTAAAGGTCACAGCTTAAAGGGCAAGCTGCACATCACACGCTTTTCCAAAGAGGAATATGAACTAATAACAATAGCCAGTTATAAGGAATAATCTGAAGTAAACTCACTTCTATTTACCATATCTGGGAGGGGGATAAAAAAGCATAATCCAAGAACAATTCCATGTTTCGAAGAAATTGAGGTCACGAGACTTTTGTCTTGTTTTCTTGTGTTTTCACACACACACACACACACACACACACACACACACACACTCAGAAGTCTCTTCATATGACTATTCTTGGACGGTGTTCCAACAGATATATATATATACATACATACATACATATACATATACATATACATACATACATACATATATATATATATATATATATATATATATATCATGTCAATGCTGAGAAACTATTTTTACAAAAGAACAATTTAGCAAAATGTTGTCTCCTTAACAGAAACTGAAAAAATACAAGTAGTGTTCCCAAGGGCCAGGGGGCCAGTCTCAGTAGCAGAGCAGGCCCTGAGGCCCAGATCATCCCCTTCCCACCCCATCATTTGAGCCATGGCTATGACTTCAGGGCTGTCCTGGAACCAGCTTCTCAGATTTTGCAGTCTTTCATTTCAGCAGGGGCCATCTGTGTCCTTACAATTCAGCTGCAAGAAGACACATGCGTAATTGTGGCATTTCTAGTTTCTCATGTTGGGCCTTCCATGGTGTTACAATTCTGTGGTGAATCTGTAAGCATGGTGGACTACCAGCGGGAATGTAAGTCCTAACTACAACACTTTTCCAGCATGTGGGAGCCCTGGGTTCGATTCCTGGTACCACAGAAAGAAAAAAGTCTCGCTCCCTGTTACGAATTATTGTGGCCTGTACTGATGTGACTTACTTTATCATGCTTCTCATGGGGCTGTTTTAATTTTGGAAGCATGTGGGTCTAATGTTCTGTAGCTCATTGCTATGAGGTCAAAGTCGTGTTAAAATCTTGGGGACAGGAGTGTTAGGAGGTGGGTCAAGGAGCTGTGTCTGTCCTTCTGAGAGGATTGAAAAGTCCTTCCGGAAGCCCGGCAACTGTCAGTGAGGGCATCCCATCCTCATCTTCTTCCTATCATTATGAGAAAACACCTGGAAAACCAACTTCTTTTGGCTCACAGCCTCAGGGACTCGGGCCCATCATTACTTGGCCTCATTGTTTCAGACCTGTGGCAGAGGGTACAGGGGAGACTCTCAAATGCTAGCCAACAGGGAGCAAAGACCAAGAGAGAGGGCAAGCCTAGGAGACAAAATTGTCCTTCAAGGGAACTTCCTCTGCAGTGACTCACATCCCCCCACTGGGCCTTGCTTCTAAGGTCGACACCATCCTCGAAGGGCTCATTCTGTTGTGACTCTGTCAGTAGCGTCAAGGTCCTCAGGAGCCAGTCATTTTCCCAAGCCCCACCTTTGGTCACTGCAGCTTTGGAGACATACAAGCTTTGTCGGGATGGGGTAAGGGAGGGTCAGGTGGGGTATTTCAGATCTGAACTCTAATGCCCATCTTGCTGTCTTCCAGGGCACCACCATGGTAAGAAGAGCGAGAAACATCTATGCTGAGTCCATTTGAAACGAAACCGCTGATGGAGATGAATCTTTGCAACTGATGCTTCTTCCTGTTTTGCTGTGTTTTTAAAACTATAGCTAAAAGCGGTCTTTACCACAGCGATTCTAACAAAGCAGCAATGCCTCGGCCCTTGGTGTCCAGGGTCTGTATACTGTGTAGAGAATGCAGGAGTCTTGGGAGACGGTGAAAAGTGACATGTGTGGTTGCATTGAGCGTGAGGACTGGAGTCAGAGCCAGAATAATTCTCAGCCCTGCCACTAATTATGTATAAAGTGACATAGTACAAAATCATGATATACATAATAGTCACATGGCATTTAAATTTAATAACCATGTACTTTGACAATATTTTCCTATTGTCACCTGCTTTTGCCACCACTCCCCAGAGCCTGGTCATCTCAAATCTTTCTACCCTTGTGATGTGTGGTGTATGTGTGGTATGGTGTGTGTATGGTTGTGTGGTGTATGTCTGTGTGTGGTGTGTATGTGGTATGGTGTGTGTGTGGTTGTGTGGGGTATGTCTGTGTGTGGTGTCTGTGTGGTGTCTGTGTGTGGTGTGTTTGTGGTGTGTATATGTGTGTGTGGTGTATGTCTGTGTGTGGTGTGCGTGTGGTGTCTGTGTGTGGTGTGTTTGTGGTGTGTGTGTGTGGTGTATTGTGTAGTGTATGTGTGTGTGGTATGGTGTGTGTGTGTGGTATGGTATGTGTGTGGTTGTGTGGTGTATGTCTGTGTGTGGTGTGCATGTGGTGTCTGTGTGTGGTGTGCGTGTGGTGTCTGTGTGTGGTGTGTTTGTGGTGTGTGTGTGTGGTGTATTGTGTAGTGTATGTGTGTGTGGTATGGTGTGTGTGTGTGGTATGGTATGTGTGTGGTTGTGTGGTGTATGTCTGTGTGTGGTGTGCATGTGGTGTCTGTGTGTGGTGTGTTTGTGGTGTCTGTGTGTGGTGTGTTTGTGGTGTCTGTGTGTGGTGTGTGTGTGTGTGGTGTATTGTGTAGTGTATGTGTGTGTGGTATGGTGTGTGTGTGGTTGTGTGGTGTATGTCTGTGTGTGGTGTGTTTGTGGTGTCTGTGTGTGGTGTGCGTGTGGTGTCTGTGTGTGGTGTGTTTGTGGTGTCTGTGTATGGTGTATTGTGTAGTGTATGTGTGTGTGGTATGGTGTGTGTGTGGTTGTGTGGTGTATGTCTGTGTGTGGTGTGTTTGTGGTGTCTGTGTGTGGTGTGCGTGTGGTGTCTGTGTGTGGTGTGTTTGTGGTGTCTGTGTGTGGTGTATTGTGTAGTGTATGTGTGTGTGGTATGGTATGTGTGTGGTTGTGTGGTGTATGTCTGTGTGTGGTGTGCGTGTGGTGTCTGTGTGGTGTGCGTGTGGTGTCTGTGTGTGGTGTGTTTGTGGTGTGTGTGTGTGTGTGTGGTGTATTGTGAAGTGTATATGTGTGTGGTATGGTATGTGTGTGGTTGTGTGGTGTATGTCTGTGTGTGGTGTGCGTGTGGTGTCTGTGTGTGGTGTGTTTGTGGTGTGTGTGTATATATGGTGTATTATGTAGTATATATGTGATGGGAGACGTCATTCTGTAAATATGTTTCTCATACTGGCTAATGAATAAAGCACTGTTGGCCAATAGGAAAGGAGATAGGAGGGACTAGGAGACAAGGAGGAAAGAGGAAGTAGTAAGGAG